AGTCTCAGAAAGGGAAAGGAGGTGACCATCAAAGAAAGGCAATGAATCTCAGCATTTCAGTGGCTGAAATTTCTGGGGCTCTCCTTTGGGTTCCTGCTGAGCTGTGAAGAACTGCTGGTTTGTGGCTGGATTCTCTGGTAGAATAATTGAGATTAGAGAATTCAGGTTTTGTATTTACCATGAAGTAGCCAGCACAGAAATAGTTCTAGCAATTGACAGAGCATGCAGGCCTGGGAACCCAAGGAAATGCTCACTACCAGGCAGCAGGACTCACCTGTACTCAATGTTGTATACCCCTTTGTTGTTTAAACTTAGGACTTTCTTCACGTTATCCATGACATTAATGGTTCCAAATTCCAAGCTTCCTTCTGGACCTGAAGAAAACCCACAGAGTGAGGTCAAACACGGTATTTGTGAGCTGCTGCAGAATACAACAGGCCACAAGCTACATGGAGGTCTTGGTGCAAACCCCCTTCCAGCAAGTTTCTGTTCCTGAAAGTGTTTTCCAGCTGCCTTTTCTTTTCACACTCAAAATATCTGCAGGCTTAGTAGCTAAAGAGCTCGCCTTTCATTTCCTCACTCCCAAGCACAAATCCAATTAGTTTATTTGCTGTGCCACGCCTGTGGGCATTGCCAACTGCCTGTTTATGTCACTGTTGTTTCAAAGCCCCCAAATCCAATCTGCACATGAAGCTGCACACTTCAAAGTTCAGAGGGGAGAGACTTAAGACTGTCACAGACCTGATAATGCTTTATTTCATGCAGGTTGCAGGGTACATGCTTTATGTATCCATGCCATCATTGTATCCCATCCCATCCCAGTGCTTTGGCTGCCCACCTCCCAAGGTAATGCAGTGCACCTGGACTGCTTTGTTTGGGAGGCATCCACTGACCTTCAGGTATGAAGTCAATGGTCAGAGAAACATCGTAGACCTCTGCAGAGATTTCAATGTTTTCAGTGTGGACAACCCCCAGGATGTTTTCTATATCTGAAACCTGAGGCAGCAAGAAACAAACATTGTTCAGATTATTCTTTTGAAAAGTCCTTGTCTCTGCTGGCTGCTTCCCCTATGGCCTCCCTGGCTTCACAAGCGTTGGTGGACTCCCAAGCTTTGCTAACCTGTTCCTCTCAGGGGCTACCCCAGTGAGATTCTGCTGCAGTAAAAAACCCTATCAGCCCAACTCTGCACTCCTGCAGCAGGGAATGCTGCTGCTAAAGCATCCTTGAGAGGCACAGGGGTGTAAGAACAACCACAAAAAGTGTGAGGTGTCTCAGAGCAGGTGGCAATCTCCAATCACCTAGCACCCTGTCCGAAATGCAGCCCCTAAACCATGGGGAACAAAATCCCAGGGGGAGAGTTTGTTGCACTATGCAAGGGCTTCAGACAAAGTCCAGGAGGAACGTAGAGATCACGCTACAGTCTGTACAACCAGACAACAGCCTTCAACCATTCACAGGGACAAGGTGGTTGTGCTACAGGCTCAGGATGAAGTGTCTGCTTATCTGGGGGGATGTGGATGCACTGCATGTTCTGGCAAATGCTGTGCAGAGGCAGAAATTGGGGTCACAGCACCCTCGTGTCTGGCAGGTGCAGCTCTTCGTGACTCTGTCCCTAGGAGCACGTGGCTGCTCACTGTGCCCTGCTCTGCCAGGCAGAGCACAGTTCCTCTCACCTCTAGTCGAAGGATCTTCTCAATTATGCCAATCTGCTCAGCCTTGAAATGCACTGTCACTTCCAACTCTGAGGAGGGATCAAGGATGCCATTATCTTGTGACAAGGAGAAGTTCTCAGCAAGGTAATCCAGCCCATTGAGCTGCCAGGCCATGGGCAGCAGGCTGTTGTTTTTCAGGACCAAGGTCCTGCTGTCAGTCCTGCAGAGAGAGGAAGGGAAGGCACTTGGCATCAGTTGCTGGATGGTCGCACCAGCCTCGCCACTGAATGCAACTTGGAGCAGCTCCATCCATGCCCCAGAAACCAGAGTCAAACGTTTTTTCTTTGTCACAAGTCTTGGAGCGCTTGTGGGATCACTGACCTGTGCAGAAGCAGCTTGTCAAAAGAGAGCTCTGGGGGGCTGATCTCCAGCTTCACATGCACCCCATAGCAGCACAGGCTGAAGACCACTGGTTCTGGGTTCTTCTCAATGCTGCAGATGAGCTTGTCTTCCAGGAAGCCAAGGGAAGTGGGGTATGCCCAAATGGTCAGCTCCTGGACACGGCCCCACAGGAAGAAATTAAAGGAGCTCTGAGTGTGAGCAGGAGGAGCAGCCCCTGGGCACTTCTACAGTGCCTGCTCTACCTGCCCTTCTCCTACCTGCTTCTCCTTTGGTTTCAGGGTTAGGCTGGGAGGGTCCAGAAGGAATGTCTCTGCTTCCCCATCATTCTCAAAGGAGAAGTGGACCTCTATGTCCATAGGGGAGATGTTGAGGATGGTTAGCTTCTCCGAGTTGCTGGGACCGTTCTGAGTCTTGTACCTGTCCACAAAAGGGGAAAAGGCTGCAGAGGAGACGTTGCCTTTGCCACACACCGAGGAGAGCACCGTGTGCACCCGAGGAAGCAGTGCTGGGAGACCCTGCTCTAACAGACAAGTGATGGAAATGGATCCCAGTCAGGGGCATGGGCGAGTGCTCATCCCTGCCTTACTCTGATGCCTTCCCCTGGACTCGGTGCCTCCAGCCCAGAAGCCTGATCATGCTCAGGCCACTTCAAGAGTTTTTAACACAACGTTAATTCAAGGGTGCCTAGAAAAATAACAGCATACCAGACACATGGGTTTTTTCCCCCTCCTTCTTGGGATGCCTTCCCTGCAGGGTATAAGGAAAGGCCTTTGGAAAAGGAGTTTAGCTAATCTCTTTCATAAAAGTCATGAAAGTATTTGGGATTTCATGGGTTAGCTCAGAGTCTGAGAAAGAAACATAAAGCATCAATTCCTAAGAGGAATGCAAAAAGATAACAAATGATTCTTCTTTCAGGTGTGGAAATGACTTTGGAATGAAAGTTAGAGAGAGGAATTTGGAGAAAGGGTTAAAGAGGCAAAGAGAGATCCCAGACCATCCATCAACCTGGCCAAAGATTGTATGTATTTCAGTTTCATTTCCTTGGGCTGTCAAAAGAGACCTAGCCCTCCAGGGCTCCCATGGAAATAAGAACTTAATGTTAAATTTTTTTTTTTTTTAAGTGACAGTAAAAGTAGAAGTACACAATAGCTTCAATGACAGTGTGTTTATGCAGCTTTTATCCAGCAGTGAGCACGCAATGTCATTGCAGGAAAATGTAATTCCTGCTGTGTGTTCCCCTCGACACCTATTGGCAGGTCAACCATAAAATCTTATTAATAATTAGAGATTAATGAAAGGTTTACAAAACCATCTACAGAATAATTGCTAGAACAGGCTACCTGCAGAGCTCAAAGCACTTCAAAAACCACCATAAAGTTCATTTCCTATGGGTTGAAGCTGACATGTGGGGGGGGACACAAAAGTTGCCCCCCAAGTCACCTTTGGACTCGCAGCAGCACGCGGCTCTGGCCACCAAGGCGGCCACCAAGGCACCCACTGGGTAGGCAGAGCAGCTCCTCCAAGGCTCATTTGCCTCTTATCTGCTCAAGTTCACACATCTGTGGTCCTTCAAACCCATGTGTCTTCAAACCCACGTGTCTTTGGTCCTTCAAACCCAGAACTCTGATGGGATTGTGCCACCAGGACAGCATGTCTCTCCAGGCATGTCAGAAAAGTACAAGGCCCAGCAGGGAGCACATACCACTCTCTTGATTTCCCACACAGCAGCGGTCCAAAGTGGTATTGCTTTGTGCTCTCAACGTATTCCTTGAAGATGACTTCGTCTTCCTTCATGGTTTTCCTGCACTGTGGAAACACCACCCTGGGCAGAGAAAGTGGGGAAGGAGGAGCTATGAGATGCTCCAAGTAGGAAATGCGGTCAGAAAGCCATAACCCTTCCTGGTGGCT